AAAAAAAGAACAATAAAAAGCACATAGAGAGATATTATATAACTATCATTACAGTTAATGAAAACTCCTCAACTGGGTACAATAGAAGAACCCTGTGAATGTTATTAAGAGTTTCAGATGGTGAAACATGACTAGTGGATTGCTGTTATTCAACCACATTAGTGAATAGGCTGCTCTGTGTGTGTGTGTGTGTGTGTGTTCATGCACAATGAATCCATGAGCCAGCGTTTGCGTAAGACTACTTTCCGCTACAGTGCCACACGAAGAGGCACGATTTGAAAAGAGAGGGAAGACATTGAAGTCTTTCTTCATTTGCAGCGCGGTCACGTTTCGCTCACGTTTTTTCCCTGCTGGCTCAAGTGAGGATGGAGGCGGAGAGAGGACCCGCTGCTCTGCTGTTATTGGCAGAGAGCCAAGAGGGGGTTCAGGTGGGGGGGGGGGGGGGGGGGGTTGGGGACATGGCTGATGGTAAACACTCCAGCTGTGATAATAGCAGTTCAAGAGGAGTATCCCCGTGATTTTTGAGTGTGGTTGGAATTCACACAAGGACATCATATAGGCTAGTATGGTGTCACCCTTATCTGCTCTGTAGACCTACTCATAAATTAGAACTGTATTCATATTAGTCTATTCTTCTTCCTCCTCTTCTTCTTCTTCTTCTTATTATTATTATTAATGGGCTACTAATATTATTGATATGACCATTATTAACGTGACATTTTATTTCAGCAAGAGATGTTTTGATATTGGCTATGTGCGCTACGTAGCCTACAACACACACACACACACACACATAGAATATATTCACATTTTGTTATGTTGCAGAATTGTGTCACACACACAAAGACATACACGAACTGCAGGTTTTTTCAGATGTAAGGCCTGAACACTGACCACAACGAGTCTTTTCATTCACAAGAAAATGTCGTCAGGACAAAATGTACACAAACACATCAAGACAAGGTCAAGGTTTACAGTAAGGCCAGCACGTGCAGAATTTGTTTTTGTATTTTTCTATAGTATTGAGTCACTAAATTACATAAAATAATCAATAACAAATAATACGCGTCTGACTATAAAAATGGAGCTTTTTGTGGATCTGCTCCATGGCAAAGTTTCCGTTCATTGGCATGACAAGCAGAGCAGACATGAGCGACAACAGCACGCACTGGCAGACACACAGTGACAGGACATGACAGCTCCGGGGTCTCCCGTGTTTACCTGAGGTTCTCCGGGCTGAAGGCTCGGTTCAGGTCCGTGTCCACGTATCTCGTGCACTTCTCCACAGCCTTGGGGTTGGTGATGAACGGTTTGGTCTCGACTCGTTTCCTCTGGATCTCGGCGCTGTTTTTCACCCACAAGTTGACGAGCGTCACGCCTGACATCTCGTTCCCGTGCGTACCCCCGAAAATAGCCACCCGCCTGGCCTCGGTAAAGCACGCGCTGTTGTTGTACGACGACATGACTGGATGGTAACACTGAGTTGGGGTGTGGGGGACGGGGGGGGTGGAAACGAGGAAGAAGACACACTAAAGGTGTCAGAGGCTTCAACAGCGGAGTAAAAGTTTCCAGCTGGAGCTCCAAAGCCTCTCTGTTTAAAAGCCTGCTGTGGCTGCGCGCTTACGTAACGTGCCCGCGGGCTTGTTGTGGTCAGTCAGCGTGCGTAAAATGAGCTGAGTACTGCACGACATGTCTCGAGTAACAGGCGAAACTGCAGTTAACGATGTTCCTCCCTTTTGTTTATGCTGCCCCTCTCTGTTTCCCTTTCTGATATTATTTACTGATCATTTCCGGTGAATTTCCTCCAAAATAAAATGTAACCGGGATTATCTTCCCATATAAAAAAACACCTACAAGTTGTCTGTCAAGCGAGAAGAGACGGGAAACTACTTCCTAGTACGGCCTTCAAAATAAAGCGATTTAACGTGTTGGGAATACATTTTACAGTTCAGGAAAAAGGGAATTGAAAATAAACCAGTTCCCTTTTTGATTTGAAAAAATCTAATTCATAATATTCAGTATGTTATCACTAAATTGTAGGCCCACCTAGCCCTACTCAATATGTATTAGGCTATTCCCAAGTGGTTAATATGCTACTAGTAAAGTAAACAAAAAATATATTCCCTTCTTTCTGATGTGTTTTAATTGATCTCATTTACGAGTTTATTTTTCTTTGATATATATATATATATATATATATATATATATATATATCTCTCCATCTATTAAGATTATTAAAAAAAAAACTAGGATTAAATTCAGTCTCAGTATAACATGAATTACATACAGGTTAACATAGAATCTTATGGAGTTTCTAAAGCAGAAAATGAACAGGATAGATAGATAGATAGATAGATAGATATTAATCCTTTGCAGGAAACACCCTCATCGCAGCAACTGCGATCACAGCCAAGACACCACACACAAAACTAACAAATACCATTTAGGCACCTAACAAACAAGACATCAAAAAATATTAAGATCAGTTCCAACCAAATAAAATAAAAACATCCCCACCTGATACCAATGAGAGTCCTTGTCTCTAGATGCTTTATTACACACATGCAGCCACGATGGATGACCTTCCCCGCTTTCCAATGTACAAAATAATTAGCCGTCACCTTCCAGCCTTGAGGAGAGTGATGCTTTTTCAAAATTGACACCCTTCTCAATGGCATCATCCCCAGCAAGCCCTTGTGGAAGTCGGCCATGGGTGCAGAGCTATTCATGCAGAAAAGTGCCTCCTCCTCCATGTATTATGTCTTGGCTCTTGGATCATTCACACTCTGCATGTTCATTTAATACTTCACACTTTTCAGCATATATGACTCTAAGTGTGCATTCACGTCTCATGTTAAGACAGTGTGCAGGTCGTGAAAAAATGTGATCATGTGGTTTTGCATTACCTTGAAAAAACCTTCTCTCATAAATTTGCATTCGCTAGATAGAGTGTACCAGCGCAGTCTTAAGCCTAAAGCAACATAACTAGGAGCTGGTCCAAGCCTGAGCTGTCAGAAAGGAAAGTTTTAAGCTTACTTTTAAAAGTAGGGAGGCGCTCTGCCCCTGACCCAGACTAGTTGATGATTCCAAATGAGTGGTGCCTGATAATTGAAGGCTACTTTTAGAGACTTTTATGTACCACAGGTGGAACTGCATTCTGAGAATAATGTTCTTGAGGGATATTATGGCCCTATGAGCCTTTTAAAGTCTCTGTATTGTTCATCCTTCATAAATAATACACTTTTTAAAATCATATTTGTCTGTGTAGTCTTTTGTTGATATTTTTGCAGTAAATGTACTGTGCCTTTTGCATTTCATACAGATACATTATACATTAATGTTGTCTTGTAAAGCATTACGTATTCTAAAGTATGTCTCTGTTCTATCTGCTCTTTTCTCTTGTTTTTAGAAGCAATGCTCCAATCAACTGGTTAGTAAGGTTTGATTAGTGACACCTGGCAAAGTTTTAGAAGGCCCCTCCCCCTTTCCCTCTCAGCTGCCACTCTGCAGAAGTGTATCCTTTCACTAATGTATAACTTGAGTAATGTAGGCTGCATTATACTTACTTGTGTTGGAATGTTTAGGAAGTCCTGTTTGCTTTCTTTTTGTGATGTTTGGGAAGTAAAGCTCTTAGTACTTGTTGTACGGTGGCATTCATACTTTTAAAAAAAGTTGGACTTCAACTCTACTTGTTTTGTTTGTTTAGAAAAAGATATCTTTCTATTCGATCCCTTGCAAAGATTGTTGTTGCACCATAAAAAAAAACTAAGTCACTATGTTGTCTAGTCTTACAGGTTTAAATTAGCAAAGTGTGCCTCAATAAAAGAAAGGTAAAAGGAGGAAGGTATACTTTACCTGCAATAATGGAGCGATGTAAGAGTGAGGGGGCTGCCCACAGCAAGCACTCCTGAACTGATGGGGATTCAGTGTTATGCTCAAGGGCACCTCGGCAGTGCTCAGGAAGTGAACTGTCACCTCTCCATCTACCAGACTCATTTCCATACGTGGTCGGGCTTTAACCGGCGACCCTCTGGTTCCCAACCTAAGTTCCTACACACTGAGCTACTGCCGCCCCCAGTTATGTTATGTTTCCATTTGTTGACAGGCAAGATGTTCAGATTATCGCCAGCCAGTTGACCATGGGGTTCAAATTAAAGAGGACATATTATACCCCTTTGCCACATTTTCAAACAGTCCCATGTAAGTCTAAATGAAACATCTGTGCTGTGCTTTGGTCAAAATATACCATGAATCAAGCAGCAGAGAAGGTTTGTGACCCTGTATAAACCAGCCTTCTCAGAATGCTCCGTTTTCGTGTGTGTCTCTTTAAATTCAATGAGCCCCCCTGAGTTTTCCGGTAGACATCACTCCTCTGTAGCCAGAATAAAAATGGCTGCCCAAAAGTTGCCCAAAAGTTTTGCTCTAAGCTGGGGATGGAGATACCAGGGGAGGGGAGGTTTTTATTTTTATTTTTCTAACCAGAATCCAGCTTGTGACATCACAGACTGAGACAATTTGAGCGCTTTTCTCTGTGTTGTCTGACTTATGCAGACTAAAATCAAAGGACTGGATGTTTTTTTTTTCATATTTTGTGGGTCAGTAACTCAGGTTTACCCAAATGTGTTCAAAAACACTGTAAAAGTGGATTTTTCATAATATGTCCCCTTTAAATTAAGATCTTTCTTTTCTTAGAATCAGTCATTAGAATTGATTGTAATAATGAGTGTTCTGCCTCAACATCTCTTCTTATTTCAGGGACTCTCTGTAGAGACTCCCTGAAAAAAATAATTAAGTCTGAATTGAATACGGTAATTTATAGACTTACCTGGCAAGGGGAAAAAAAACCTCCAGGGTCAAACTTAAAACCTTACAACTCCAAAAGGAAGGATGGCCCTACCTCATTTTTAAAGAGTACTTGTATGCTACCTAGATGAAATCCTTATTAAATATGTACTTCAGAATTTCAAGCCAGGTGGAAAGACATGGAGCTCTCAAGTATGGATAACTCTCCACTTCATTTAATGTTCACAGTTCATTCAGTGTTGGCTCACAAACATTTGATTAATAGATACTGTACACACTCCTTTGATTGAAGCTCTATTAAAAACCTGGAGGACAGAACGAGAAGTATAAACATTAGATAATAAAATACAAATCATTTAATGTTGTGCTCATGATTTTGACCATAAGACATAACACATACATTGAGGATCCAATACTGAGATCATGGGAAAGTAAAAGTAATCAAATAAATACTAACATTTTGACATTTTCCTCCAAGAGTCAAGAGTTTCATATACAGGAGCCTTTATTACCAAAAAATAACCTTTGTCGTAATTTCTATTTAACAGAGTTTAGCTCGACACCAGAAGGTTGTGAAGCATGTCAGTAAATATACTTTGATACAAAACATAATTAAAAAGCTCTTTTTTTAAAACCTCACAGCCGTCACATTTCTGTGTTTGAATCCACAGCTTGGTCTGCCAGTCTTTACATAATCCCGATCTAAAAGTCTGTAAGGAAATCCTCATTGGGATTAAGCAGTTTCCTCTTTACTTAAGTGTTCTTCATGAGTCTGTCTGATGACATTTGGGGTTTTAAAAAAGAAGTCTCTGATAGAATAGGGCTGCTGGGTGTGATGTTATGCTCAGCTGATTGCGTTGTTCTCTCCCTTTCCTTCTTGTTGTCGTCTTCGGGCTCTAAATCTGCAGACTCTGTCAAAGAATTCACCTCAAAGGAAAGGTTGTCAGTGTGTTTTAACCCGTTCCTTCTTTTTCTTCTCCCTTATGTGGATTGGAGTCTCTGAAGGTGTCAAACCAGTTTCTTCAGTTTCAGCTGTTGGACTTTCATGCATCACACGGCATGTTGCATCTTCAAGCTTTCTCTCCTTTCTCAACACCACAGCCTCATCTGTTGAAGACAGACCTGCATCTGCAGCACTTTCCAAACTTTCCACTGGAGTCATCAGTTCAGCTTCGTTTTCCTGCGCGTGTCCCCCCGCGTCTGTGATTCCACACGAGGCCCCCTGACATGTTGTGTTTGGTTCCTCAAAATCCTGCTCATGATTTTTTTCCCACACCATTCTGCACTTCCAACATTTTTCTCTTTCCTTTCCTCTTCTTTTTCCTGTCCTCATTGTTTGATATTTCCAAATTTCCGGAGACTTCTTCTGATTCCGCCTCCAGATTTCCAGCGCTGACACCAGGTTTTTCTGCACCCCAGACATAAGCCTTTAAAGAAGACTCTGGATCAGCACAGAGGATGGATGAGGACTTATCCTGCACAGACATTGAATCACCGCTTTGTACCATATTGTCTTCAGACCTCTTTTTCTTCTTCTTTTTCCTAACTCTCACTTCAGCATTTTGGTCTGCAAGGCCCTCCACTGTTTTCAGAATGTCATCTTCGTTTAAAACCTTTTTCTTTTCTTCAGAATCGGAAGAGTTATCCACCCCCTCAATTAAAGTTTTCTTCTTCTTCGTCTTTTTCGGTGACGTCTCCACAGCATCATTAACAGAGCTCCCATCTACACACTCTACCGGGCTACTTCTACCGTGCTGAGAAGCCTCCTTGGAGGACGAGTGTTTCTTCTTTTTATGCTTCTTTCTTTTGACAAAACTGGATTCCAAAGTTTGCTCAGAAGCTGCCAAACAATTCCCTTCCTCTGCAACCACGATCCCCTCTTCTTTTCTCCTTTTCTTATGTTTCTTATGTTTCTTCTGCATCTCGGCATTGTCATTAAAAGGTTCAGGCACAGCACTGGACTGTCGCTGCTCCTCTTCATTATCACGTCTTTTGCTTTTCTTCTTCTTCCCACCATTTTCTGTACTCAACGATGAGACCTCCACTCTCAAATCAAATCCTAAGTTATTGACATTTTCTGCAGCTGCCTCTCTCTTTTTTCTCTTCTTTTCTTTCAAATCAGAAGTGTCTCCCTCTTCTTGTCTCAACATGCTATCTTCATTTAATGGCCTCTCCGTCACATTCATACCCTGCACCTCCTCCTGACTCCGGCTCCTGTCTTTGTCTTTCTTCTTCTTCTTTGCCATGGTTTCCTCACACAACAAGTCAGTGTGAGTGTCACTCGTACGACCTGCTGGACTGTGGAGTGTCTTAAACTGTGCTGTCTGAGGCAGATCGTCGATGTGTAAAACTTCAGTTTGCGGTTCCGTTACAGTCGCTGCTGCCTCTTTGCCGTCCTCTTTGTGTCGCAGTTGACTTTTCTGCGGGTTATCCACCTCACTCTCGCCCCAAGTCTTTCCCTCTCTTGCGTTTTTCTTCTTTTTTTCTCCGACAAGGAGTCCCTTTGTCTTATGTGCTTCAGCTTTAACTCGACAAGCAGACTCTTCAGAATCACAGTTCATTGTGTCCACCAACTCTGATGTGCTCCTTGATAAAGTCGCCTTTGCTGGTAACTGTGAAGTCTTACATTGTTCTCCTTGTGAGGTTTCTTGTCTGGTGTTGGTGGCTTTCCTCTGCTTTTTCCGTGTTAACTGCTTACAAAAGGTTTGTTGGCTCTTTCTCT